CCGGCAGTGTGAAAGAAAATAAGCATGGTGCCTGTATGTATATGCAAGTTTTCAACTTCATCTGTGTCTACCTCTTCATTCTCGCTACGAATCAAATTCAACTCTTCTGAAATATACTCTATGGTACTCAGTCCATCTTTCCTCAAATTTTTGTGGCGATTGATGCTGTAGTGGGCGCGTTCTTGTGCTTGATCGCTTTGGCGGGTGCACAGCAGGGTGGTTGCGCCGCGTAGATACGAGTCTCACATTTTTTTAGGGGAGGAGCTGCGTGTTGCGCCGATAAGTTTGAAGCCTACAGTGGACGGAATTTGGCAAATCTTAGTTCCCTAGATAGCTACTGGTATAGTCTACAGCTGTAAACCTTTAGCCTTGGGTGGATGTACGCCGGTCGCGCTGCTAATCTGTGTAAAACGATATTTTTTGTTCCTCCGCTTACTTTTTATTTTTTTCAGTCGTGCAGCACTGGACAGCGGGGCAATTTCAGCATCGCAATGGGGTGTCGTAGAATGCAACCCCCCCCGTCTCTCTTTTGGAGGCAAGCGATTTTTCCCGTGTGTGCGCCACGCGCTCTCCATTTTCAACTCCTGCCTCTCTTCCCTTCACCTCAAACCTGTTTGTGATACCCTGTGGGGGAGGTGTTTACAGCGACCACAAGCTGCCTTGACGGTAACGTTGGCTAGGAAAGGCCGATACACAAGCCATGATTAGCATCGCGAGAGTGTCGGCGGGAAGGACTGCTTCGCGCCTGGCGAGACAGCAGCGGCATGTTGTGCCCTCGGCAAGGATCGCTCTAGTCAGGGCCGAGGCATTAGGGCTAGAGGGCAGCAGCATCAGATTGAACTCTCCAGCCTCGCGCGCTCTCGTGTCCGTAGCCAAGCCTTCCAAGCAGCTCGTCGAAGGGAGGAAATTCAGCGCGGTGGCGCCCAAGCCCCTGGAGACGATGATCCCGTGGGTGCCTCCTCCGTTCCAGCCGCTGATGAACTGGCTTCACCCCATCATGATCAGGCCGCGGCGTCCGATGGCGTGGTGTGGCATCGAGGCGCTCAACACTGTGACCAACGCCGGGGCACTGTGCGGCCACTTCAGTTTTGCGCTTCTCACGCTCGCCTACCTCGAGACGGACGTCTTGAAGCTACGGTGAGAGCTGGTAGTACCTACATCTCCGTCATGCGGAGTATTGCTGGGTGTGTTATCATGCGTGTGTTCTGTATTTTTCGATGTCGTCATCTCGTGATTTCCAGATCTCTTCAAAATCTGTCCCACGCCTTTGCCTCTCCCCAAGCGGGGGCGGGGCGTGTGTATGCTAGATGCTGCGCACAGCACCCATCCCTGACGCCGATCACTGTTTGGTGTTCGTGTGTCAACCGCCAGAGCCTGTCCCGTACATGATCTAAGAGTTTCCTGGTTGGTAACACGTGGGTCTGCCTTGGATGATGTGCGCATACGTATGTTGGCGGCGGAAGTGTAGATCGTATGTGCCTTCACTCCTTTGTTCATTGAAGTACATACCCCGAGCATGTGCCAACCACAGCCTACAGTGTGTGCGTGCGCAGTCGAGGATAGACATGTTCAGCGCTCGCAGGCAGAAGGCGACCATAAGCGTACGGTCTTGCGACTGCTCTGTTGGTCAGAAAGTGTGTTCCCCGAGTAGGTATGCCGCAAAGGGTATACGTGTCGTGGTGTATGCATGTGTCATCCTGAGAGGACGCGTGTTACAACACACGCGGGAGGCTCCCTCGCAGAAGTACCACGGTACCAAGGGAACACGCACGTGTTGTTCATCTCTTCGCCAGCACAATGAAGCTGTTCATTGAAATCATCCCCAAACTACTTCCAGGTGTGTGTAGGCAAGACGGCATAAAGAGGCTGGGTAGGAACCAGCTGTGCTTGCTGCTTTGAAACCCAGAAAATACCCCGCCAACGTGTATTGAAATCGCTTTCCACGTAGATGCGCTGCTGCAGATCTGACTTTCCAGTGCTGCTGTATGACTCGAGATGTCACCTGCATTCTCTGCCCGTAAGACGTTTATTTCTTCCCCCTGAAGTGTACCACTGCCGCTGCTGTATTGGCGTACAGATTAAGATATGGCACACATGGTCACACAACATTTGAAAACGCCCGAATGTATCTACCAGTAGCAGTATGCATACCTGAAACACAGAGATTGTACTTCGTTCGAGCGAGTGATGCGAAAGTGCGGTGAAAATAATGTGATGATGAGAGTGCGAGGAGTAGGAGGAGGCTTCGGGTAAAAACATTTTCTACAGCACTAATAGTATACCACTGGATGGTTTAACCCCCCCACCGATCTTGAGTGAGAAAACAAGCACTCGATGATGTACCTTTTGCTACAACGCAACCCGTGAGTTTAATGTTTCGAGAGTGTCAAACTCGACAATAATGCAACCCACTCCTGCTCATGATAATCCCAACTCGCGCCCCCCCACTTGGTGGGGAAGGGCGGAGTTTTGTGATCAGAGGATGGTCGGAAGCTCGTCGTGTATGTACATGACTACCGTGTGATCGGAAGTAAACTGCGTGTGGACAAAATTACGCTCAATTAGTTTGATATGTTTTGGTTTGACGCGATCCTGGTGTGGCCGAGCTCGTTCGTGTATGCGCTGCTGTGGTAAAACAAAGGAAAGCGAGGCTGAGGTTTCAGAATAGAATAGCCGAGCGTCAGCGCAGAATTCCGCTGTAAAATCGTGTGTGACACACGAAAGGTAGTCTGCCTACCAATAGTTTGTGGTTTCTTATGCGTACGATTGGGCCGGTCCAAAAGTACTGCCGCAGCTAACTCGATGTTGTTAACCACGAGACCTCCCTTAAGTCCCAGGGCCGAATGATTGCCTTGACACAATGTACAGACGCCCTGGGTCCCAACGGCTGTGATACAAAACAAATCAGCTGGGACGTGGGTCTTTTCGAGCCACTGCTTTTCGTAGATACGGGCACGTCGAAAACAATGGTTGGCAAAGATTTTGTCGGATTCCTACTCTAGCCCGGCGTTTCGCTACTGAGGAGGCACGTGTGCCTATCGTCCACCTACATTCGTGTGCGAGATGGTAGATAACCTTATCTGTCAGCCGTTTCGTTGTGTTTCTGCCGCACCAGGGACCGGACCACGTCGGGAAAGGAACACACCGCGGGACACACAACAAACAATGCTGCCAACCGCCTGTAGTACAGATATGTAGTCGCGCAAACAGGTCTGGCATCTATGGTGTTTACTCTCTGCTAACCACGCTTGCCCTCAAAATAGTGGTTTTTTTTTTGCGAGAAAAGCTGTAGAGTCAATCCCACTTTCGCTTGTGCCCCGTCTCCGCCGATGCCCGTGTTTTCTACACCACAGATACCTGGTGGCCTGTGGATCCACCCTGAACATCATGTTTAATCTGTTCCGCGTTGTGGGCCCCCCCGTGTGGATCCCCATCAAGTGGAACGCCGGGTTCCTTGTGCTCAACACAATTATGGTGGTTCTACTCATGAACGAGCGGGAAGAAGCTGAGCGTCTCAAGGAGGACCCTGAACAGGCGAGTTTTTTTTTGTTTTGCTTTTTTTGGCCTCCGGTTGGAGTTCATTTTTTTTTCACAATTGAATCAAAGCCATTATCTACACTAAAGCTGTGTATTTCCTGCTCGTGCTCAGTCGTACCACCCATCCCCCTGCGTACTTGCCTTCATGGCAACAATTTGTCGTGCTGGATTTGTGTGGGGCCACTACAATCATGTCGTGAGGTTCATTTTATAATCCGGAGTAACAGCAGCAATCACATGGAGGCGTCCTCCTTAGTCCATGCTTGACATTCTTCGCCTCCATTCCTCAGACCGCATCAAATCGTACTGCATGATAATTGCACCGAGCGCTCCGCGTACCGCTAGCCGCTTAAATCCCATGTGAACCTGACGCTTGGGAGCAGGCGAGGATTTACCACGACATCTTCGAGAGGGTGAAACTGAGCCCCGTTCAATTCCTACGGCTCATGGACATCGCGGAGCGCCGCGTGGTGCCCAAGGGAAGCAACCTCAAGGAGGGTGGGGCTCCGCACAAGGAAGTTCTACTCATCGTCGAGGGTACCGCAGAGGTGAGTTGGACTGACTGGGCTGCTACTGTATTCTGCTGGTGGTGCGTGTGCGTGAGGCTGAGCATGTATCGGAAGCTCCCGCCGTTGAGGTCTTGGCGGGTAAGGAATTTCATGCTCATGTTCAACGGTACATTGAAGTTGAGCATCATTAAAGTTTGTAAGCCTCTACAGTATACTAGAAAATTATCCCAGCAACCGTTTGTAGCTCAATAGAGGAACCAAGAACCTCACCGTGGGCCGAAGGCACTAGATAGAGGTGTGTTTTTTAGCGTGGGCGGTAGCTGAAGTGCTGGCTCTCGCCTTGCATGGCTCCGGGAAAGGGGTCTTGAGACGGATGGAAAAGGGCCACCATCGCCACGGGTGGTGAACGGCAAGATCGCGTCGGTTTGTTGTTGTTGTGCCTCAATTTCCAGACAGGCCTGAGCGAGCATCGAGCATCGTGCATGCAGTATTTTTGGTGCCTGACGTGTCATGATGAGTCAGTCACGTCGCTGACCCTTATTGTTGGAATTCATGTCGTGAACGTGACAGGTCAAGTCCGAGGGAGTTGCCGTGTCCCACATGGAGAAGGGTGGATTCATTGGGTCCATGGCCTTCATGCGCCTCAGTAAGAAGCTGTCCGCCGCCAAGCTCGCCGCCGACGACGGGCACTACGTCTACAAAGACGGAGGCATGTTCCGGAAGGCTTGGGAAGCGATCCTCGGACAGCTGCGGAGGGACGGATCCGTGGTGGGAGAGGTGGCCCAGACCGTCGTGGGGGACAAGACGCTCAAGAGGCAGGACACGATGGGGTTGGAGCGCTCCATGTCCACTGTGACTGCCACCTCCGACGTGAGTTATACATGCAAACCCCACTCGCTGCGATTTGGACCGTCTTCGCAAGAAATCAAGTATGAGAAGGAAATAGGGCAAGCAGGGAAGACGCAGACCATTCCCCACCCCTAACCCAAACTCTACTTCGCGGATGTGCTTTTGTCCAACATGTTTACCTCATTGAAATACCCTTTGAAGCCTACTGTGCGATTTTGGTTGATGTGTGGTAGCTGTGAAGAAACCACCGGGCAAGACGGAAAATGTTGCTGCGAATGTCGACATGTCGGCAGGCACGTGCAAGGAACGGCGGTTATTGCGGCTAGCTCTTGATGGGATGTTTCCAGAACTGCCTCTACCCGTTTCGACTTTGGCGGCAGCCTCTTGGTCGTAGAGCAGTTGAGAATCACACAGCGCATCTGTCTGTGCTTTCGCCCGCACTGCTCTCACGGAATACTACACGTGCAGCGAGCGAGCGGGTCACCCTCCCGGGCCAGTACGGCACACGTACTCAGCTCACCATGCGCCGTGCGACGTCCACTTGTTTGAGCGCTTTGTTTCCGCGAACTGCCCGCACACATTGAACGCTTTTTGTTGGCACTTCCCGCCGCTGCTCGCCAACGTTCCGCCTCTCTACCAACTCCGTCTGATGGCCGGCTACTGTGACGATGATGATACATTCACAGGTGGTGGTGTACGTTTGGGACCAGCACGAGCTTCGCGAGTTCATCAACCGCCGGCCCATGATCGGCGCGTGTCTCCAGAAGGCGATCACGGTTGACCTGGTGAACAAGGTCGACCAGTCTCGCGACCACCACGAGCACTACCGGCAGCTGCTCGCCGAGACGTTGGACGGAGGACGGGTCACCTCCACGGAGAGGAAGAACTTGCAGAGGTGCGTGAAAGGAAGTAAGGACGGCGGGAAGTTCTGTATGCTTGTCGGTGCTTGTAGGTGCGGCAGGCGGTAGTGAAGCAAGAAGGAAGCTATTGCGATATTACAATATTGCTATTGGGGGAGGAAAAGTGCAGCGCAAGGCTTTGGCACCGAGACTCGGGGGTTCTCGGATATAATGGTAGATTCGGGGAGTACCAATCAGTAGCCCTTCTTTCGGAAGCGACAGGGACATGTACTCTCATCCGACATGTCTGCTGAGTGCTGACCCGTCACAGCAGCGGTGGCACGGAGACCCCGGAGCTCTCGGATGATGTGGATCAGGGGAGTCCCATTCCAATCAGTAGCAGTCATCTGGGAAACAAACGTAGGGTATCTCATCCGGCATTGCCCCGCCTCGATGTCCCCGCCCCATCTCTTGATGCCCTCCCCCCCACCCCCCGATGACCCCGGATGACAGGTACCGCGAGGGGCACGGTATTTCGTTCGAGGAGCACCTGGACCGCCTCAAGGAGAACAACTGGACCGAGGAGGAGTTCGAGGCCGGCTTCCAGACGGGCGTGGCGACCCAGAACTTCCTCGAGTACGAGGCTTTGCTGCGCAAGGAGCTTGCCAAGGGGAAGGTACGAAAGGAGCCATCATACGGCCTGATAGTTTGTCCTTGTTGATCTTGCACATGACGAGCTGCCTGGTTGCCCTCTCTGATCGTGCACACGTGTACGCCGTCGTTGTGTAAGGTTTCCCCGTTACTGAGTTGTTGTCTCGGCGCGATGATGATCTTGGTGTTCTTCTCTGTCAAGGTTGGGTTTGTACATTTTTTTGACCTTGATCTCCTGTCGCAAACCTAGCCTCGCGCATTTTTAGTATGGAAATCTCGTTTGCGCGGGCGTCGCGCTCGAAAGTGTAACCGTATCAAAGGTCTGTGGCTCTCAGCCTGCCTTGCCGCTTCGTCGTACTAGTACAACGGACGACGACGCGGCAAGGCAAGGCAGGCCGAGAGCCACTAGTCTGAAACGTACCATGCCGTATTGTATGACTTGGCGTACTGCCGTGATATGTCCTGCTTGCTCACCCCGCCGCATCGGCGATTGCCGCTGATTCCTCTTGTACCGATTTGATTGGCCAGATCAAGCCGGAGGCCCGGTCGAACCTGCGAAAGTTCCGGTCTCAGGTTGGCATCGATGCACAGGAGCACCTTATCGCGGTCGAAAAGCAGGTGAGCAGTACACAAATGTCTAGGAATTGAGGTCCGTCCACGCGCGCTCCCTTAGGAGTGACAGTTGCCTGCCCTTGAAACGATCGATGCTCTTACAAGTGCTTGCCGGGGGCGTGCAATGCGACAGTTGGAATCCGCTGCATGCCTCGCCCACGACCGTTGTGCGATCGGTGTTCGCTGTTCTTCGGGTTGGATATTTTCTTGTCAAACTTCCTTGGCCAATTGCGTGATGTTTGGTGCCCGGTGCTCGATTCTATTGTATTCGTCAAACTTCCTTGGCTCATTGTGCCATAGATGTTCGCTGTCTCATGTCGGATATTTTGATCCCACTTGTACCCAACGTCGTGTTGGATAGTTAAGTCTCACTCGTGTCTATCACACGTCCCGTCGCGACGTTTTTATTTCCCGGCCATCGTCTGTCAGGGCTGGACGGCGGACGACTACGAGGCTGGCGCCAAGAACGGCTAGATTCCAACAGACGATTACCGACCCATGCTCCACAGAGCGGACGACGGATTTCCCAGTGGTAGGACGCGAAGGATCGGGGGGATGGGAAGGGGGGTCGTTTCTTGCCGAAAGGGGCGCCGTCGTGTGCTTTTGATCCGCCCCCCCCCTGTGCCTGGGGGCACAGAGGCCGAGCAGAGGCACCCCTCAAATATCTTGAAAAGGTTGAGCCGCGGAGCTTGATGGCTTGTGTCGTTTTCTTTGTTGCTATTGGTACGCTCAGTACACGGCAGAATGTGTCGCCACCTCACGGGAAGGGAGAGACTGTATCTTTTTCAGGAAACATCGAAAATGTTCTGATACGTGGGAGAGGGGAGGGTGATCCAAACGTAGCAAACGTAGATGTCTAGACACGCGGGGGGGGGGGGAGACGGCGAATCGTGGTTTGCTTCACGGCGGCGGCAAGGGTCGAAGTTGATCGCGTGGTGTGCGCACGTACACACAGGTGTATGGCCGCCGGGCTTTTGGGGTGCAAAGATAAAAAGGAGTCGGCGGTTGTTGGTGCGCATATCGGAACCATCGATCAATCTCGTAGACTGCGACGGTTGGGCGCGATCGGCAAGCTAGGCTAGGCCAAGAAGAATCTTGTTTTCAGAGGACTCTCTTCGTTCAGTTACGACCAGATTGTTGTTGCCCGATAAGCAGTTGTGTCTGCCTGGACGCATCTCCTGCAGTGACGTGATTTGTTTCCTTGGGGGAATACAGTGTGTCTGTCCCTCCCTGTGTTTTCTCGCCATCAACGTGTTGGGCGCTTGTTGTGGAAGTGCGAGTTTGCTTTGCCTATCTTGCCGTAGCGTTCGTTCGTTCGTTTGCTCTGTCCTGTTCGGAAACATAGGACAGTACTGTTGGAGGGTCGGATGAATTCAGCTCACGTGTTGGTATAGCAGTTTCGAAAATATCTACTGTACGTGGTTGCCAATTCCGGTACACAGTTTCGGACTCGAGTTTTCCGACATTTGGCTAGCGTTTTTTTACTTGTTGCATACTTCGTATATATGATGTGGTATTTGGGATGACTGAATCAGACTGACTCTGCTTGAAATAGAAATGGAGATGGTTCTTGTGGCCAGGCGATCAGGTCTTCCATGGAACGGTGACGCCAACATTTTGGTGCATGTAGGTGACTGGCTGGTACACGGGTGTAGTAGAAAACCAGCGAGACGTGGAGGGTAGGAGTGATTCCAGTTCGATGATCGACGGTCGATGGGATGATGGGTGGTGTTGCTCGCGTTCGCTTTTTCTTCGTTTCATTTTCGGTCTCCAGCTATTTTGTTCGTGGTCTTCTCCTTGCCCCAACATACATGGACGTTGTGCCAATGTTAGTCTTCCTGCAGATCATCTAGGGGCCAAATTGGTACCCAATCTAACGTGGCGGTGGTGATTGGATTCGTACCCCATGCACCCGTGGGACGTTTTTTTTCCCTTGACGTGTTTTTGTGAGCCACGCATCTCGCAGATTGTAGCTTTCGTTTCAACGAAATGAACGCAATTCAGCGGTGTGGTCTGAATATCGAGGGGACCTTGAAGAGCCGATACGCAAAGGGGGGCAGAGGGTTAGTTGGAGGACAAGAGGGGAGGCATTGTTTATCCACTAGTGGTGTTGGGGAAGTTGGAAGTTGTTGTCGGCTATGGGAAGGACTGGAGACATCGGCCAAGTACGCGCCTCTAGATATAAGGAGAGGACCATCCAGCGCTGCACGTCTGCTGTGGGTGAGCGCGCGAAGAAAGAGTTCGGGACATTTGCATAGACTACCGGTTCAATCGTTAGTTATCTTCTTTAGTTGAAGTCGCCTGCCGAGCAATGCTTCTTCAGTCACTGTATCGAATGCGCGACGCAAAAAGTGCCTTCCCTTGCTCATCTTTTCCTTGCTCTCAGTTGTTTTTTTACCGAGGAATATGACCATGGCGAAAGATTATCTTCTATCTACGAATACTAGTTACGATGGTGGACGATTTTTCTCGATACTAGAAACGAGAGAGAGAGGTCATGGGGGTATAGTGTGAGGTGTGAGACCGCGTGAGGGTGTTGCACTCCCAACGTGCGATTTCATCCGAGTGAAGTCTGGTTGGTCTCCGTTGTTTTGCCTGGCGAACGAGAGAGAGCGGGAGAGTTGTGTCTTCGAGAGTGTTCTTCATCTTCTGCAATGACTGTTTCTTGCGTCGTATGTATGTATTCACCTATTCTAGTCACTCGTCATTCTGCCGCGGGAGTATCCTCAACGCGCGTTGAACATTATTACTGGGCAAAGCACACAACAGGGTAACCCTGGTCGAAAAGCGACTCAACTGGGTACATGCAATTCAATAGTGAAGTTAACCCAAGTTATTGGTCAACGCCCACTTTCACCCCGCCGCGTTCTAAAAGCGTGGGATATACTGTAACGTTCTGCCGTGGTTAGTTTTTTTCTCCAGAATTGTTCCCCGAGTGACTTGACGGGAAATGAGACCCCTTCTTTCTTCTTTCACTAACCATTTTCCTCCGCAGGAATCCTTTCCCAGTCCTTTTCCTCTCCAACCATGGGATACCAAACGGTGAATCCCCGGCCGATGACATCGACCAACGGGAACCAGGCAGAAATCAATCAGGACATCGTTGCTGTAACAAACTGCAAAAAAAGCAACGCCAAACATCATATCTTCCCTCTCTACACAAGCAATGGGCAGTCAGTCAGCAAGAAGTGGCAGTCCCTACAAAACAGAAACAAAAATCTGAATGAACTGTTCCCGCTCTTGCCAAACAAATCGTGAAGCCTGTTCACTACAACATACATACCTCTGTTTACTACAGCAGTAGTTTCGAAATCAGTGTTTCATTGATGGTTTGGTGTTTGATATCCAGCTAACTTCGAGATTCTGTATCTTTCAATTAGTAGAGTAGTGGTGCAAAGTATAGGTGAAGGATAGTCTAGCTTTCCTTTCATCGAAGAAGTACATTGATTGGTCCAATCAGGAGCCAGCTTCATTCAGTAGGTACCAGGCGAGGAAAGACGTTTGTTCTTGTTGGGAAAGATCGTCTTTTTCGGTGGCTTGAGTGGGAGCTTGCTTATGTTCACTTTGGCCTCACGTACGTGTGGCAGGATATGGATACGGGCAGGTCCGCCCCATATTGCACATCATCACAAGTTTCAAGTGCCCGAAACACCAACCAGGGACCACCGGAAAATGTACTTCGCATCATGTTGCGCGTACGAACGTACGTACGTGGACGAAAATAGCCTCGATCGAAAGCAACCGTTCTATGGCTTCTTGTTGGAGAGAGAGCTTCCGTTCGATGAACACACATAATACATGGACTAATGTGCCTTGAATGGACAGTGAACGCCAGTCAGTGTAGTCTAGTGGCGATATGAACCATTTTTTGTACGGGAAACCTTGAACAATAATAGTCTTCAGATCCTCACGGTGGCAAGGCGAATCTCGTCGGTGTTAGTACATAGGGTGCTCGCCTAGGCCACACACATGTCATAATATTCTTCGCGAGGACGCGCCCCTGCATCCTGCGCCGATACTACAAGCGAGCATGTTGTGTAGAAGCAACCCGACGAGAGACCAATGGGGGACATCGGGATGTCGGCATTTTGTTTTCAAATTCTTCCGCGAGACTGGCTTTTTCCTCCCCTGGTTGGTGGGACAAAGTGTCGTGTACATTTTGAGGTGGAGCTCCTTTTTTCGCCGCATTTGCCAGTCGTTACCAACACCCAACACGCACGCACAACACGAGCAAGGAGAAGGGCTGGTTGAGTCATGACAACAAAGCGAAAAAGAGCGGCATCAGGGTCGAACTGTGGAGTATTACTACGCGGCGCGACTCTGCTGCTGGTCGTGGGGATTTCGGATGCTTTCGCTGCTGCTGGGTGAGGGAATATCGAACGCAAACACCCGAGACCACCTCAGACAGCGGCTGATCGACCTACCGAACATCTTGCATTCGACTATAAATAGCTGTTGACACGCGGATTCCCCTCTCCGACTCTGCTGCTTGTATGGTGTGCTAGTCTTGATGCTGCACACACCGAGCGCCTTGTTTTTCGTGTTGTGCTTAGAGCGGCTGCGATTAACCGTCCGTGCTGCTTGCCGACCGCCATTGCCATGCTTGAGACGCCAAGTTGTCGGTGTACATGTAGCTGACACCTTCCCAAGGCGGTGACATAGGAGGGTCAAGGATCTGTGTCGTGTCGATGTGGGCCCCACTAGCCAGTTCTATGGTAAGTACAGTGCGTTGCGGGTGGACGGTACGCACGTTGACATATTTTACCTCCCTCTAGACTTACTTTCACCGGGGAGTTTCGGAAATATGTGTTGTTTTGCCGTTTTCCCAGATAGCATGCCCTTACAAAACCGCCCAGACAAAAATCGGCATGAAAACGATCCGAAACGAGACTCGGATTTTTTTTCGGCATGACGTGGCAACGGCCCGCCGCTGATTGGTCGACAGACTCGCGCGCGCCGTTCCCCGCGCTCTTCTTTTCGCCCAAAAAAAATAGGTTTGCGTGGTTGGATAGTGCCATCTATCATCGAAGGCGCTAGGAGCATCTAGCGGGGGTGTTGTTACCGAAGAAAAACACCCTGTCAAAGCTTCTAGCAAGCAAACTCAGCCGCGCAGGTGGCGTCCTGCTTCAATCAACCGGTNCAACGGCCCGCCGCTGATTGGTCGACAGACTCGCGCGCGCCGTTCCCCGCGCTCTTCTTTTCCCCCAAAAAAAATAGGTTTGCGTGGTTGGATAGTGCCATCTATCATCGAAGGTGCTAGGAGCATCTAGCGGGGGTGTTGTTACCGAAGAAAAACACCCTGTCAAAGCTTCTAGCAAGCAAACTCAGCCGCGCAGGTGGCGTCCTGCTTCAATCAACCGGTCAGCAGCAGCTAGCTAGCTGCAGCAGCAGCCAGCAGCCGCAACAGCAGCTTCACCCTACAACAATCACCCCACAGCGACTCTTTAAGCTGCATTCCACACCGTAACAGCTGTGCAGAGGAGATGGCGCCGATTGTTGTTGTTGTTGTTGTCTTCACATTAAAAACCGTTCCGATCCCTCTCTACCCAGTACCTTCGTATGTCCGTACTGATCCAACACTCGACGCGGTCGATTCCCGTGGTTACAGGTTAACTTACCCTAAAGGCACACGCAAACAAACTGGCCCCGAGGGTTCCGCAAGTCAATAGAAATCAACGACAGATATTCTGGAGTCCTCCACTCCCTCTGCGCGCTATGCGAGGTAACAACTGAGTCTAGGAGTCACCATCACGGGCCGGAGAGAATGAGGTACACCCCCTTGGTTCAATCTTGGTACTTCACAACGCAAGCAGAGACAAGGCCATCTGGCACAGAAAAAGAGAGAAAAAGAGAAGAAAATGAAAGGAAACAGTAAGGAAAGAGAAAATGAATTATAAAGAGCGAGGACAAAAAGGAACCAGGACGAAAATAACAAGAAATAAGAGACACAAAAAGGCACACGGTGGAGAGACCACTAACGAACAAGAAAACACGCAAACATGACCACCAACCAGCGATACATTGTTAATGGTACGTCATCACTAGTGGGGGGTTGGTGCAATGGTGCAGCGTTGGGGAGGGGGGAATTGGCTTAAAGAATTTCAATCCGGCACGTATCGCGCCACTCGGTCCGTCTCTTCTCGTTTGCTTCTTCCCTCGTCGTCTCGTCCGTCTCCTGCCCCCCTCCCGCCCCATTGGTTGTTGGCTTGTGGTTTCGTTTCAGCACCCGTTGCCGGCTGGCCTCTTCTTCCTTCTCGTGCCAGGAGGTCATGAACCTCTCAGCTCCCTGCAGCACCGCCGCATGCCAGGGTACTCTGCCCTCTACCTTCGCGGCTTCCGTCCACTTTAACTTCGGTGCCGTGTCTTTCGGTACCGGGATTCCGAGACAACATGGATCGGTTTTCGTAGATCCGTGGTCGGCCCCGAATGCCTTCAGGTCGTCGAGCACACACTTCGGCCAGTTCTGTTCCTGTCCCCCCCTACGTCGCTTCTCCCCCCCTGCCAGTTCGCCGAACATCAGTCGTTTCGGGAGTCGCCCGTTCAGCTGCCTTGCCGATGCTCCCGTGAACAGTAGGCGTCGTTGTCGGATCGTGGCTTTAACGCTCTGGCATTCGACCCTCATCAGCGTCTGGGCGTCAGAGAGCTGCCGGTAGGTGTCTTTCTTGCGCTTGTACCCGATAACTCGAAGGAGCAGTCGGTGGTGTATCGACCGCAGCGTCTGATAGTGGCCGCTGAGTGGTGACCATGTCATGCAGCCGTACAGCAGTGCCTCCATCGCCTCCGCCTGGAGCAGGCGGATCTTGAGTCGGAATGGCGCTTGCGGTCTGTCGAAGAGCTCCCGGCCATATCGCCTGAGGCACGCCCACGCTCCTCTGCTCCTGTAGTTGATCTCCCGGGTGAGGTCGCCATGTTCGTTGACGAGGCCACCGAGGTACCGGAACTCGGTCGTCTGGGCGTATTTCTGTCCCGCGGCTTCGATGGTCAATGGTGGAGGCGGGGCGGTCTGTGATGTTGTAGTCGGCTTGTCCTTTGCGCGCATCAGGAGCGTCTCCGTCTTCTACCCCGACACCGTTAGCCCGAAATCCACGAACACCTCAACGATGATGGTCATCATTCTCGCCAGTCCTTCTGCAGACCTCGATACGACGCCGGCATCATCGGCATACAGCATCCCCCATACTGCCCTCCGTACTCGGTCAAGGGGTGTCTCC